CTTTGTGTAAGCACCGGTCTCAAGACGAATAAAGTGGAGACTGTGGTTGATAGCTCCATGCTGGTGTCCCTCTGTCATGTCCTTGATGGTACTATATACAGCATACTGATCAGACACTATAGTTGTTCTTGGAACAACATACTGCCTGATTACTGGCAGAAGGGTAGCAGCACCTCGTCGAGCATGTAACATGTAGCCTTCTTGAATGTTAGAATCACAGTTACGGATTGTAAACCAGAAGCTGTAGCATGAAAACTGGAAGCAATGCAGCACCGCTACATCGCAAAGTCGGCAGATTCAAAATGTGAACCTCCAGCACGGAAAGTGGGAGCGCTACCACTCCACACTACTACAACTACTACACCTGAGCGAGTGTTTTAAGATATGCATAAACGTGTAAATAAACGAGTAGAGACGTTGCTCAAAAGCTCAAAAGTAAGCCACGCATTCAAGATTAAAGTCAAATGAACTGCAGAATAAGTTAGAAGAAATAAAGATACAGTTGGAGGAGGAAAAGATTGAGGTAATACTATTAGAAAATAATCACAGTGAAACAAAAAAGTCATAGTCAGTTGTATTATGGTATTATCAATGTTGCTTTGAACTCGAAAAAATGGTAACAAAAGGCAACGTGCTTGATATCTGCAACGTTTCCTCTTCAGGTCCAAATGTGGTGATTCAAATGAAATTCTCTTACTGTTGCCAGAAACATTCTAAATTGAGTAGTCACTTTGTTACGACATGCTACACAAAGCTATTTCTCTTTTATGTCCGCTTAAGCCTCATTTAGTTTTTTTTTATTATTTCATCTAATTTTCAAACTGCTTAACTTCATCAAAGGAATTCTTGCATTTTTTCAACTGAAATTGCTTTCCCGCAAGCTAAAAAAACAGACTTTATGCAGCATTATCTAATTACCGACAAAATTACCTTGATCTGACAGATCTAATATCTGCCGAAAAGATGTTAATTTCTAGTTGGTGAATAAATTTGTTTGTTTATTGTTAGCCTATCTGACACGTAATTGTTAAAAATATAAGTGCTGCCCCAAATTTAAAAAGCAAATACGCTGCTTAAAAGATAGGTCATACTTATTTTACTACTTGACTAATACAAGTGTTCAAATTGACACGCCAAATGCTAGATATGAGTTCAAAGCAACACTGATAATGCCATAATACAACCTGGCTATGACTTTTTTGTTTCACTATGGTTATTTTTTAATAGTATCACCTCAATCTTTTCCTTCTCCAACTGTATCTTTATTTCTTCTATCTTATTCTGTACTTTACTTGACTTTAATCTTAGGTGTGCAGCTTACTTTTGGGCTTTTTTGTAACTAAAGTTTTATTTACTGTTAAAAAGACAGTCACTACTGAATTTTTAAAACAATAGAAACTGCAATACCAACAAAAAAACAACAATTAAATTAAACAGGTACCAACAATTTGAACAAAAAACTCAAGTTTTCTTTCAGTGGTCGAATAGCTGACCGCTGTTTTTAGTTTCTCTTGTCCCTTTCTAATCAGCGCATTTGTTAAAAATCAGTGCTCTATTTCTTGCAGTCGCCACTAAAGTCGATCTGAAAGCAACAAAAACATCCTTTTAAAAAACTGATTGATTCAGTTAGCTGTATCTGAGTGTTACGTCAGGTTTCTCTGTTTTTGCTCTGCCACTTTTTTCGTCACATGTTTAGATTTAGTTTTTCATCTTTCTCAGTAGTCTCCCTCTCTTGAGTTTTTTCAAGTTAACAGTACGTAAGCAAAAAAA